GACCTTAATGACATGGATGGAGTTAAGCTTTTGGGACCTTCATTTGCTGATATGGCACGACTCAAAATGAGAAGAAACAACTGATAACATCCATTAATAATAGGAACTTGGAATGTATGAAGTATGAATCTAGGAAAATTGGAAGTTGTCAAAAATAAAATGGAACCCATAAAGATCGATACCCTAGGCATTAGTGAGCTGAAATGGACTGGTATTGGCCATTTTCAGTCAGACAATCATATGGTCTACTATGCCGGGAATGACAAATTGAAGAGGAACGGCGTTGCATTCATTGTCAAAAAGAACATTTCAAGATCTATCCTGAAGTACAACACTGTCAGTGATAGGATAATACACATACGCCTACAAGGAAGACTAGTTAATGTGACTATTATTCAAATTTACCTACCAACCACTAAGGCCAAACATAAAGAAATTGAAGATTTTTTTTTTTTACGAATTTCTGCAGTCTGAAATTGATCGAACATGCAATCAAGATGCATTGATAATTATTGGTGATTGGAATGTGAAAGTTGGAAACAAAGAAGAAGGATTAGTAGTTGGAAAATATGGCCTTGGTGATAGAAACAATGCTGGAGATCACATGATAGAATTTGGCAAGACCAGTGACTTATTCACTGCAAATACCTTTGCATATTGAACATTAATGACCAAAGACCAGAGAGATTGTGGGATGATATCAAGGACATCATACATGAAAAAGCAAAAGGTCATTGAAAAGACAGGAAAGAAAGAAAAGACCAAAATGTATGTCAGAAGAGACTCTGAAACTTCCTCTTGAGTGTAGAGTAGCTTAAGGGAATGGAAGAAATGATGAAGGAAAAGAGCTGAACAGAAGATTTCAAAGGGTGGCTCGAGACGACAAAGTAAAGTATTATAATGAAATGTGCAAAGACCTAGAGTTAGAAAACCAAAAAGGAAGAACACGCTCAGCATTCGTCAAGCTGAAAGAACTGAAGAAAAAATTCAAGCCTTGAGTTGCAATAATGAAGGATTCTATGGGCAAAATATTGAATGACCCACAAAGCACCAAAAGAAGATGGAAGGAATACACAGAGTCATTGCACCAAAAAGGACTGGTTGACATTCAGTCATTTCAGGAGGTAGCATATGATCAAGAACCGATGGTACTGAAGGAAGAAGTCCAAGCTGCACTGAAGGCATTAGTGAAAAACAAGGCTCCAGGAACTGACGGAATGCCAACTGAGATGTTTCAACAAATGGATGCAGCACTGAAGGTGCCCACTTGTCTACTCCAAGAAATTTGGAAGACAACTGACTGGAAGAGATCCGTATTTGTGCCCATTCCAAAGAAAGGTGATCCAATAGAATGAGGAAATTATCGAACAATATCATTAATATCACAGGCAAGTGAAATTTTGCTGAAGATAATTCAAAAGCGGTTGTGGCAATACATGGACAGGGAGCTGCCATAAATTCAAGCTGGATTCAGAAGAGGGTGTGGAATGAGGGATATCATTGCTGATATCAGATGGATCTTGGCTGAAAGCAGAGAATACCAGAGAGATGTTTACCTGTGTTTTATTGATTATGCAAAGGCATTCGACTGTGTGGGTCATAACAAATTATGGATAACATTGTGAAGAATGGGAATTCCAGGACACTTAATTGTGTTCATGCAGGATCTGTACATAGACCAAGAGGCAGTCGTTCGAACAGAACGAGGGGATACCGTGTGGGTTAAAATCAGGAAAGGCATGAGTCGGGGTTATATCCTTTCACCATAGGTATTCAGTCTGTATGCTGAGCAAATAATCTGAGGAGCTTGGCTCTATGAAGAAGAATGTAGCATCAGGTTTGGAGGAAGACTCATTAACAACCTGCGATATGCAGATGATACAACCTTACTTGCTGAAAGTGAAGAGGACTTGAAGCACTTA